CTATATATATATATATATATATATATATATATATATATAGACTGGCAGCATGACGTGAAAAATATGCTGAATTCTTCCGCACGTGAGCAAACGCTCTTAATTTCCATAGACGACTTCAGACTACCGCTATAATACTACTTCTCATTCTTTAGAATGGCTTGTCTTAGGTTGAATAATGTAATCTGTGCATTGTCTTACGGATATCCTCTCCACCTTAACCATCGAGTAACTTGAATAGGCAACGGTAAACTCCAATAGAGCCCTTTGCGCACCCAGCACTCAGTTGGCTGCTCTTGCTCAAGGAGGGACGAGGAAGCCATCATAGTTCTAGTATTACTTTTGCTCTTCTTGGCAAGAAGGTTGACACGGATATCAATGTAGTGGTACATGTTTATTCTCAGCAGTACTTCCGCAATCGCCTTGGACGACCTCTCCATGAGGCACAATGCTTCAAAAGTCAGTAGAACTCACTGTAGAGGTTGTGGAGGTAAACATTTGATTCCTTGAGTTCTCACTACAAATTTGATTCCGGTTCGTATTTTCCAAACATCTTTTTTATAAGGAAAGTTGTTTATAAGTGTTGTTTTACTTTTACTTATTCTCTTATTTTACGTTACTTGGTGTTCAGTAATATCGGTAAATAAGAAAGTGGATGAGGACCTCTTACCTGAGATCCTGTCTACCATTGAGGATGACTTCCTTATCCGGAAATAGAGCAGTCGCATAGAATTTCTGAAAACGGCAACTCTGATTTTCATAGCAAACATAGTATGGATCTGAAAGTAATGGTGCATTTTACCATAAGACGACTGCATTAGTGAAATCCTGTGCAAACCACTTTTCGACTTTTTTTGACTTTCAGAAACGGTTCTACTTACTTGAATAGTTGGATGGTCCGTATTCATTGTTTGTGCGCGACCTAGAATAATTTCCGTTTCTTCGGAGTTTTTCTGGTTTAGCCACTGTGGTTCTCAGGAGTTCCGAGGTCGGCCTGCCTAGCCAAAGTCTGCCCCAGGTCGTCACCACCACAGGCAGTCGCCACACTTGTGGATCAGAGGGAGATTTGCCACCATGCGACTAGTTTGATACCTGGACGTTGGTGGATCTTAGTACTGGTTTACTCTTAGCTGGGCTTCCTGATAGAAACGCCGGACTGCTTCTCAGCTTGGGAGACTGCTGGAGGTATAAATACCCCGCTGTACATCGCAGCTCGACACCCAGGAACACCTCCCAGGCACGACGAGGCGGTAAACGTTAGGAGACAACGATTTTAGATTTTGAAAAACCCTTGAATTCGCAAACTCTCTGACTATAACCTGTTCACTATTAGCAATTAAGGCGTTACTTTTGAAATTGTAGAATGCTTGGTAAAAAGGTTACCTGTCGAGTATTAACCGTTTCTGGTAAACCGTAGCAATCATCCAGATCGAAGTAGTCGACGATCGACGATAACTCCATAACAAATGACTTAGGATTCGTACGAGAACTTGCGTCATTCAGAATGCAGTTCGGTGCTGTTTCCTAACAATTTATTAACCGTTGACAGTGTATGAGAAACGCAAGGAGAGACACCATCAAGATAAATCATTAGAACTCAAGAAGTACAGCTAGAGAATAGCTTTCGTGTTTTCATTGTTGTATCCTTCAAATATTTTTGACTTAGTGGACACATAAAACGGTCGAATGGTGGAAAATGATAACTGGTGTCCCTGATTATCTACACGGATATGATGCTTATCAATCGCATAGAAGTTAAAGTTACGTCTTGATGTTGTCAAGGATATAAGGAGTATTGTTCCTTAAAAACTGGCAAGAATTGGAATTTTCTCAGAATTCTATAGCTCTCATAGTTACTAACGTTATACGGAAGGATCACTATTATAGACTTACGTCATAGTAGTACATAATAGATAAGCATTTGAATCCTTGAGACTTTTCGGCCAACACACATCGTTCGATGCACTCATCGGCACCAGAAGTCATTGCAGTGTCACGCATGAAGCCCACCATAACCATATTTGCCGTCCGATCCAAAATTGCTCCCGAGCATTGATTTGAGACACTCTCTAGAAAATTGGGAAATGATGCGCTGACTTTCTGCTGGTGTGATCTGTCACTATGGGGATCTGTGCAAATGATGTTCCCGAAGTGACAAGGAGACAAGCCTGTTGACATTGTGCCTTGCCTCTTCCCGACTGTTTTAAATCTGACTGATTTATACCTTTTCTAAAGGAATGAGGTAGAACTAGTCTACGTTACGATTATATCTCTATGATGGTCATTATCCAATGTGAATCCTTCGACATACTCACGTGCAAGGCATATTTTCTCATAAAACGTTGTGAGCTGGTGTGACGTTAGTGCATCTGCTCTGGCATCGGGCGACAGTGTACATCGCTGTGTCTTGGATTCATATTCAACCGATGCACATCGCACCGGATGCTCGTCAGTTGCCTGGAAAGCAGAGCTTTAAATATGAATTCATAAAAGTCAAGCCTAATCAAATTCGCTAGTACCTTGTTTGTCAGACATGAGAATATACAGTCATCTTCACTAATATTGGATACTGTGTCCAAATGGGTGGCCTTTTCGTTCCGAGCACCAGATGAGCGCACGAAAAGAACACCTGAGCCTTTTGAGCACTCAGCTAAATCAATTATTTTGCATTGCGAGTCAACTCATCTTCGTAAATTACTAGCCTTTTGAGGAGAGTAGACGATGAGAATATGGCCGGATCCTCGATTCGATACCATTGAGATTTCTAGATTTTGAGTTTCTAGGATTAGAAATAATCCCAGGATCCAAATTAGTGAGACGAAGTACATCTAGAAGTAAGTGTTTCTGGCGTATTTTTTCCAGCTTTCAGTACAAGTCTTGAAAACTATTAAATGATAGCTCCACCTTTATATACACTGTACTATCCAGTAGAAAAAACACGTGGATGTAAAAATGTCTTCTAGGAATTTGTTGAATTACTGAGTTTCTTTGAGTCTTGAAATGTTATTCTTAGTCATTTGTACCAATCGATGAAGTATTCTTATTTATATCAGAATGACAGTTCTCCATGAAGAAATTCTTTGTATTTTTGTTGAGCAAACGCGAGGTGTTATTTTCCTTTATTCACGAATAAGCTGACGTTTCGACGGATTTCGCCTTCCTCAGAGCCGCTTTCTGTGAGGTTTCCACTAAGAATGTCACGTAGAGACCAACCGCACAGAAATCACATGGAAGCATAGTGTGCAAATTTTCTGATTTCTGATCCACATGGGCGGCGACTGCCTGTGGTGGTAACTTTAGGAATAATGTGCACATTATGCTTCCATGTGATTTCTGTGCGGTTGGTCTCTACGTGACATACTTAGTGGAAACCTCATAGGAAGCGGCTCTGAAGAAGGCGAAATCCGCCGAAACGACAGCTTATTCGTGAATAAAGGAAAATAACACCTCGCGTTTGCTCAACAAAAATACGAAAATACTTGATCAATGCCGAGGTCAATAGAAAGTCGGTCGTGGGAGTTTTTCCATGAAGAATTTGTACGAGGTCCAGTGTAAAAGCGATATGACTAGCAATTTGGTGGTCAGTCAATATTTTTTCTGGAATCTCGACATAGCTGTGCCAAGGCTTAATCATGTCCTAACTGAGGAATATGCCGGACATTATAGAGAGGAGGAGATTTGTCACCTTGAAGATAGATTGCTATTCGGAAAATGGTAACTACTGCCATTGATTTGCACTTAACATTCAGGAATGAAATGTCGAACTCAATGAACCGCATATTGTAGAAAGAAAAATCTCCCCCAGGCCACAATGAAGTGGGAAATCATTGGAGGCAACAATTGATCACTCGCTCATAACACTTAACAGCGTTTTTCAAGCCCTTGGAATCCAAATAGATAAGTTGAGACCTATTCTCGGACATTACTACATAGACGCATCGTATTTAAAGCATCGGTTAGCCCACGGTGTTACATTCATCTAGTGACACCGGGCCAATGTGGGTGGTTTCATGGAGATAGGACATCCGCGGTGATTGCGTTGCTATTGTGGGAAGGAGCAGAGGGTTTTTGTAGGGCTATCTTAGTGAGCCTATAGCTTCAACCGTAAGTGGATGTGCCATTCCAGCAGAAAGGTGACTGTTACTTCGAGTGTTGAGTCGCACGTTATTTGACAAGAGCGTTAGACCTTGGTTTGTGTAAAATGTGAAAAATTCTGAAAACATTCGTTGCATTGGTGGCAAGCTATGATTACTGTCTAATATTCAAATTCATTTAGTACTTATGGCCTTTGTGAATTTCTCTATCAGTGGTAATTTCGAGTCAGTGGGACCAATGAAGCGTAGTTTAGTCGTTCCTGAGAAATTAGCATGTCGAAAAGGTAACGGTGTTCAACGATGAACAATAGAGTTGCTAAGTAAAACCACAAGGACGCTGAGATATGAGCAAAACTTTAAATCTCAAGTGGGCTTCGAACCCTCAATTTCCTTTGCTGGAGGATCACGTGCTATCCACCGCACGAAACAAGGCCTTTCTTTTCCATTTCAGCCATGTTTTATTTTATCGCTGCTATCAGCCTGACGTAATTACCGTTATTCGTGTTGACGGGTGATTGGCTGATAGCACCGATAGAGCAAAAACATGGCTGAGAGAAAGGAAAAGCAAGTGCCTCGTTTGTTGCGATGCATAGCACATAAGCACCCGGTAGGGGTAATCGTGGGTGCAAAGTCCTACTCAGGTCTCGAGTTGTGCCAATATCTCAGTATTTTTGTTGTTGTATTATACATAGTACTCTGCCATGAAAAAAAGAATAGGCAGCAAATAAAAGTGAAGACGTAGATCGAGTTATTTTTATCGCTCCCATAGTGGATTTGCCGCAGTCCTGATTACGTTCTTACTGTGGTGAGGAGTTATTGAGTGCCAAACTGTAGACGACTGGGTTTCTGGCCCAAACTGATCAAAACTATGAACGAAGCTTAGCTGAGAATAAACTTAAGCCTACAGCTATCCAGTCGAGTATTTTAACCGGGAAAATTAAAGAGAACAAGATTTTAAGCATTAGAAAGTACGTTTTAGAATATCCGAAACGAAAACAAGAATGGTCTTGAGGAATTTCCGCCGGTACCTATATCCATTCGATCTCTGAAACTTCATTTTCGAGAAAAGCCTTAGTAAACTACGACCAGATGAGTATTCTGAATTTCATAAAGTTTCCAACTCGCTGACAACAATCGAACTGTCGTAGTGATCGTAGTAATACTCAAAGAATACCGCCTGCACACCATTTTAATTTATATCAGAACACTTACCAAATATATTAATCGAATCGCTTGCCCGCTGGTCAACTCTATTTCTTGGTAGAACACTTTTGAATATGTTTTTCGGAAAGAATCGAAGAAGAAGAAAAAAGACGGTGTTATTAGAGGGATAATTGAACGTAGAGAACATAACGCAGGAAATCCGGTATTTCGTCACCTAACTTGAACGTGGTGCGAATTTGAACGATGACTTGAAACCAACATTCCACAGGCAAAGATAAACGGACTCCACTTCTGGAGTATTAACGAGGCTACTAACGGGTATATACTGATTTGGCATGTTCGATTCACTGACTGCTACTACATTTCCGGTGCTGAATCCCCGCCAATTTTTAGGAAGGCCTTAAGAAGATAACCATTAGTAACGATTTATGGTTCCGAGAAAAAAAGACTACTTTGGAAATGACCTTCCAAAAGTCTTGAATAGCTTATTAAGTTTAAATATAGATTCAAACATAATGGTGCTGAGATATTTGTAAAACTCCCGACCGCAAGTGTCTGCGGTGGGGAACGGACGCGCTATTACTTTTTCCGCAACTAACGTATTCACCACCGCGCCATTCAGGTCATTCTTCTCGCCTTTCTCTCAGCTTAGAGTTTCAAAGTTTTGAAATAATATGAATGTCAAGGATACCATACGAAGCAAATTAACCACGTTCAAGCCGTTTGAAACAGGAAAACAGTTCGAACGAAGAGAAAGTCTTGGTAAACAAGAAGCAAAACTCCAAAAACATTTAGAATCGTCTTAAAAACCGTTCTAACTAACGTAAGAAGAATCTGGAAGTTAAAATCACTAGCCATAACTTACTGCCTATGCAGCGTAGAGTGTCGGTTCGTTTCTTTACATAGAAAGTGAAGCCATGTCGATTTTGCAACTTCGCGGTGGGGCCATCCGATGTTGTAAAAATTTCGCATATCGACGCTGAGCTGGAGAAGTTCACCGAACGGCATCGTTTGTGCCTAGAAGGGATTGATATTAATAAACAATATTTGTAAAAATCAAGAGATATTCATGCAAATTCGTGGTCAAATTCATCCAGGAAGAATCTGCCTGGTAAATTTATGCCTGCATGGTTTCTCACGTGTGTGTCAACCGACACCTTTCGTCAACCCAACTTTTTTTGACGAGCAAACGTGCCCTAACGTGGGTACTGCTATACGAAATTATGGTAGAGTTTCCTGTATGGCTCCTCTTTCTCTCTTACCCTTTATTATTGTCACTTGTTTATTCCTCTCTTTATGGAGAACTGGGTCGACAAGAATTCAACGGCAGTCATGGAGAAAATGAAATCCTCGAGTGGGAGCCGACCTCACATGAAAATTCGAACACTTAATGGACAGGTGGTGATGCAAGGCAGCGAAACAGACGAAAACGTGGAGGGACCCACACATTATGCAAAGGAGAGTAATATATATGGACTCGTTGAGCATACACCTTTCTTTTAGGGTCTTCTTGAAGAACTCTGGCCATCGGCTCGGTGGTCCTCGTATAGTACGTTTGTCATTCCGAGGAATCCACCCACAAACGGCTCCTGTCCATGGGATGTGAGTAATACGCGTTACATATCCGGCCCACTTTATCTTCGACCGTTTAGTGTGTAGAACGGCGTCTTTCATTTTTGATCGTTGACGCAGGTTGACGCTTCGGATTCGTTTCTTCACTTGCGTGACACGGGAGACTACACTATATTCCTTTTGACTGGGCATTCAATTACACCGAGTGGTATTCCATCCTGTAGAACGAAGATATCTTATGTAGCGAATTTTTTATACAGCTCACGAAAAATCTTTGTATACTGAGTAAGGACCCCTGGCTAACCAGCGCTTTCATAATTGATGCTCTCTCAATCGAGTCAAAAGTCCTCTTTCAATCGATGAAAATGAGACAGAGCGGTCACTTGTAATCTTATCGTACTTCAAAGAGTCTTGCTATTCCATAGATGTGGTTCATCGTGCTAAATCCTTTTCAAAACCCTGCTTGCTCACATGGCTTCCCTTCGTCCAGCGTTCTGTTAACTCTGTTTAGGACGATTCGAGTGAAAAGCTTGTAGACGACAGACAGCAAGCAGATTGGGCAACAGTTGCCGATATCGTGTAGGCCACCCTTCTTGAATATCAGCACGGTCTTACTGGCCTTCCAATGAGTAGGGACCATGCATTCAGACAGATGACGTGGAATGAGCCGGTGTGTTTACGAGAACTGGTGGAGGGTTCTTCAGGTGTTCTGGTCTCATCCTGTCCGCAACTGGAGCTGTTCGATTTTCACCCACGAAATGGCATATCGGATTTCGGAAGGGAGAACCAGTGGTAAAACATATCCATCCTCGTTTATTTCATATGACGGAAGGTGGACGTGGTTATCGAAGAGATCTGAGTACTATTCGTGAATGATTTTTCCATTGCCTTTCTGGACGCTGTAACTGTTGCGTGCCTGTAACTCGTGCGATTCCACGTTGGCGTTTCAGCTCGTGTTTCTGGAGACAGACGTCTCTTGGTGACTTTCGAACTCTCAGCTTTCATAGCGCTAACGTGAAGATGTTGAATGAGCTGATCGGATTTCTCGTCTATATTCTCGAGAACAGCATCTTTCCAACAACAGACTAATGAACTGAGTAAATCCCAGTTTATGGTGGTTTTAGGATTTCGTTTTTCTGCATTTAGCGGCTTTTTCTTCTTTCCGCGAGAAATTAAATCTTGCACGAAGAACGCGATGGTCGGGTCTTGTATAGAATTCTGTAATTAACCATAAATAGTCTTTGTTATTACGACAAACCCAAACAACCGCTCATCCTGCTCGTTCTATTCTAAACTGTGGGTCCAATTTTGACATTATTCTGACGTTGTTCTGGGTACAGTCTTAGCGTTTAAATCTCCAATGATGACCTTAAAGAAGGTATGATGTTCTCTGTACAACTCCAAGTCCATTTAGAGCGATTGGACTTCACCTTCGTCATAGTTTGGTGCGAGTGCATAGGCGACGAAGATTGTGAAAGTATTGACTAACATCTCTACAATCGTAGACGTTCGATTCTAGTTGTTAGTTATTCGAATGAATTTTCATGACCATGTTCATAACCAAATTCGTGTTGAGAACGCCGACGCCGCTCACTCGTCTCCTGTTGCATGTTCCGAGGAGCAGTTTTTCACCAGTCTCATAGACTGCGTTAAATATGTGCCGTTGTCTTGCCTCGGTTAGCTTGATGATCAACTTACCCATGTTGCTTGCATGATCAACTCTTCTATCAAGGACTCAGATGAAAGTGTGTGTGCATTGTAGGTGCCGATCGTCAACCTAGTCCTCTGCGGTTTAGGCAGCTTAGAATGGCCCTGAGATTTTAGCGGCATCTCAGTACTCGTACCTAACGCTGCCGAATTGAGAGGGGACGTGGGGTGGGGCGAGAGGGAGGGTTCTTTCGAAGTCACGAGTATGAGACCCATTTATTTTAGTGTTTTAGTGTGTTTAGCTTTTTTATACACAAGTATAGTTTGCTTAGCGATGCAAATGGGGACTTGGTTTACTCGCGGATAATTTTCCAATCTCTCCCAAAGTACACATTGAGCTTATTTGTTGGGGGCGACTCGTAACCACCTCCCACATACTTTCCTGTTATTTGATTGCAGGTTTTTGGGCGAATTAACCCGTGGAAATCCGCATAAACGAGAACACACCCACGCACACATGCATAACTACGCCTTCGTAAATACAGAAGGTATATGCCAAATCGGCGCAGCAAAAGCAGGGAGTCTACACTTCAGATTCACTTGCGTCTCAGAGAAGCAAATGCTGGTTATGCTTTGCGTCTAACCCCCTATCCGCCACCTGAACATACTCCATGTTGCCTCTCGACTAACCGGCAAAAGTGCCTTCTATGAGGGAGATCACAACAACATTGGCTTATATGGGGATTGGTCTGTGTTTGATGGTCGCTCCACTGTTATTTATCATGGTGTTTGGGTTCAAGTTTGGTGGGTTCGGCTATCGTCCTTGAGGATCAGTTGTCTTCGCTCCTCATTTGTACACTGAATTCTTGTCGTGCGACATTTTTTTTGGTACCGTCCCAAAGCTTCTCTAGGTCTTCATAACAGGTAGTCGCCCGTCCTTATGGATCACGAAGAGATAATGATGTTGCCAAAATGCATTCTTAGTGGACAACAGCAAACCCGGCAATTAGTCAATTGGCCGCCAGAGGACGATGTAAAAGACTAACCCCATGTAACTCATTCTTTGTAAATATGTTTTGACATTGGTACGATAGTCATTCCATTCACAGACTGAAGAATTATGTAGAAAGTCGAATATAGAGAGGGCGCTAGTTTAACTGCTCTACTAGTTTTTTTTTTTAAATTATTCTGTTTTCCTTTACCTTTACAGTCGAATTACACAGTGACTAAACAGTGAAGTTGCTATGTCTATGCCAACGGTGGTCAGACATGGATCATTTTCTCTGCAATTCTTTGGCTCACATTTGCGCTCTTGTCATCCATCATCACCAATTACCGTGGACGAAACGAAAATCGGCTCGTTAAAGTGTAACCAGTACTCTTGGCTTCATTCTCACCATTCGTTTCTATCACTTTTGGAGCACATAGTCTCCCGATCTTGTTTAACTTCACCAGCACAATGTCATCCATGTATAGAACTGATCAAGACTAAAAAAATGACGAAAAGAGGAATTTGAAGGGATTTACACGGCATATTTCTGTTCTATTTTGGTGTTCTGAGTTCTGACAAAAGCTAAATAGCTATTTCAGGTAATGGTATTCGTCCTCCTTAAATCTCAATTGCATATCTAACAGCTGTGCATTTATTTTATTGAGGTATGTTACTCATGGTGAATGAAAATCGGGTGAGCACGACATACTCTTCGAAGGAGTGTAACACGGAGTGGATAGAGGTGTGCTAGGTGGCGAGCATGATATACGCCTTTTCCATTCCCCTCCCCCACCCTCACCCCTCTCCGGCTAATCAAACCAGATATCCGTTCGCCACCAGCAAATTGCTAACGGACAATATCGTTTATGAAAAATAAGAAGTACTGATTTGAGACAGCGTGAGGCTATTAGAGCTTTACCTTTTATGTTTACCCTTCTGTGCGAAATGTAGAACGGAACAACGAAATAAAGACTATACTAAAGATATAAGATGTAGCAAGAAGGATAAAACTAACCGTGCACATGCTCTGAGGCATTCAAACGCGGTGAGCGCCGTGGGACGCTCAATGGGCACCAGGCCGGATAACGCGACTTCCGCCTGTGCGGAAAAGCACTCGTCCACATCGTTGGTGTGAATCTATACCGATTTCCAGAATTCATATTATAGGATGTTTTGTCAATCGCTATGCATTCTGACACTTCTTTGAACTCCAAAATTTCATCTTGCTAAGAACAAATTTTTCATAAGGCACATTAATGTCGTTATTCTTATCTCCATAATCTTTAACCAAGATATTTATTGCCTTTGTTAGGTTACGACGTGACCCGACACCACCACATGTATCACACTGTATGGATCCAAGCCCTTTCTAAATTTGTTTCGTTGCCTCGCATCCACCATCCACGAAAATTTTCGAAATTTTTTTACGTGTGCCTTCGCTTGCCCCTTGAGTGTGCTATCATCTTTGTCATGGGTGTCGTTAATTGATGGCGGACTCGATTCTCCCTGGAATTTTCAGATGGCCGTGCTAGGGCGTTCCTACATCTATCAAAGAGAATCAGTTTGTCCAAGACAAATGTGGCACCGATCGCCCGAGCCCAGATGGATGAGATGCTTGGTGGGAACGCAGCTGGGTAGAGCCAGGGCCTGGGTAAGTTGTGTAGTTCGTGTAAAGAACAGGACCAACACTTCCACCCCGCTACCCGCTCCTTAGCCAGGATAAATTTTAAAAATTATCCACAAACAGTAACTCATATAGGTTTGAAATCATGGTAAGAAGGAGATGCAATTCTTATTGAGTTGTCACTGCAAGGAACGAACAACCACAAATTGTGCATTTTTTAAAATTAAATTACATATTAGAAGAGCAAAGCCCGGTCTCAGTCATATATGATTCGTAGAAACTTAGCTTAATAAAAATTGAAGAAGTGGACTCTAGCTCAAGGTCAGCTTTACCAAGTGGAACAAAAATCGCAGTAATATACAGACAGATCTGCTAATGAGTCACACGCTTTTCTATCCCATCGTGATGAAGCTCTGATTTCTACGAGTCCACAAAAGACATCTTTCCGATTTTTTTTCGTTTAAACGAATTCTAAACCAGCTGAGCACAGAATTTGCTAAAGTTCTGGATTTTATTGAAAATCGTAGCCAAGGAAAAAGGGGCGGATAGCACGCTGGTAGCGACGCCCGTCATCACGAGCTCGATGCTAGCTCGATTCCGAAGTCCCCGCCGACCAAACCTCTCAACCCTCCAGGGTCGGAGAATTGGTACCGGACACGTCTAGGAAAAAATCACTCTCTACAATACAGTTGTAAACGCTCCAGCACGATTATCTCAGGACTCCAGGAAGAATTGCTCGACCAGCATTCTACGACATTCAAGAAGAAATGAAAATCCTCAAGCAACACCGAAGCCACACGTAAGGCTAGAAGATCACGATGGATGATGGATGCGAGGAAACGAATTGAATGTGAGAACTGATGGGATTTGCACACTAGACGTGAGCACGGCTCAAATAAAATAAAGCAAAAGAAAACGTCGTCAAGTTCATCGCTTTTAGTTCTCTCTCATAACCCCACCTCAGGTTCCCACGAACTGTCGAGTATGTGTGACTGGGCGAAAATGTCTTCGTCAACTTGACTGGATGTGAAAGACCTCGTCGACATGGCGAAAGAGTGCGGAGGAAACTGGTTCGCTACTACGCTCAATGGATTCCCGTCTTTATCCAGGAACAGGATGTTAGAGCCTATAAGAGCAAGACGCTACAGACTTAGCTTGAAATTTTAAATTTGACATCAAAGTAGAAGTTCTCATGCAGTAGTCGGGATGGAACGCACAAGCTAGTCAGAATTTGCGGTCCTAGAAAAAATTCTGCAAACTTTTCCGAAATTTGTTCTATTCTATTTACAATGATCAACCACTGTTGCGAAAGTCGTTTCGAGAGCTCTCCGTCACGGTTATTTAGGAACTTCAAGAAAAAAGTATTCCTTTAATCGGCTAAAAACCAGCCAAATAGGACTTTCGCTGGAGGGCTGCATCATTTGTAAAGACAAGTGAAAGAAGTCTTCAAAAAAGAAAGTTATGTTGGGTAAGAGCTTTTACAAGTCAAAGTCCTATAGCAAGTAGCAAGTTCTGGTTTTGTTTCGAAATTAGTCCTCACCAATTGAGGAACCCACGTTTCTCAATCCTGGCCTTGTCGAGGTTTACACGCTCCTCGTCTGACGGCAGCGAGCCGTGCACTACTGAACCTGGTCTCACTATGAGGTCTGCGCCATGCAATTGTTTGTTGCCCAACTCCACTGCCACCTGTTTGACAAATGGTTGCTTATCGGTATTACTATATTGATAACTGAAGAACAGGTTTATGTGATTATTCAAGCAAAGGTACGAGTTCGATTCTATCAAGTTTCATAGAGAGAGAAATCCACTTCAGTGGAACGGAAATATCGATGTATCTCTTTTTCGAAACTCGACTTCAATATGAATGGTATTCAATGCGCAGAGGTCAAACAGTACCGTTCTGCCTCCGATTTCGGTGATTCTTCGTTCGAAGAGTCGTCCGTCCCGATGCAGTATGGAGACCGTTGACAATGGTTCCTGGTCGAACTCAGTGCGCTGAAGTTTTTCGTTTTTCTTTGTAAATTGGGTGGTATGAATTAGCGACTAGAACCTTTTTCTTCTGCATCTTTCCGCCTGTTCGGCCTACGAATCGCCGTAGTTTAGGGCGTTCCTGAGCAAATCGTTCACCGTCCGTCGGCTCACTCATGCGAGCAAGCTCGGCTTCGATTACGAAACGCGGATCCTGAAGTTGTTTATCTGATTTGGTCACCAACACGTAGCATTTTTGCAAGAAAAACCACATCCTGTACAGCTGCGAAAGTTGTAAAATAAGGTCTAAAATAAGGTCATGTCAACCTTACATTTCGGGAATTTTCATATCGTTTCCAAAATGGGAAGGTTCATCTCCGTGATCATAATAAACATCTGCTAGAAAAAAGGCGCTGGTTGACTGGTTTACTTACTTTACTTTAATACTTCGATACGGTGAAGACCATTATTTTAATGTTTAAGATTATTTCTTTTTGAAGTCGGTCTCAATCGATTTAATCACCGAAAATTTTTATGTAATGTAACATTGTAACACTTTAGTAGAATCGATAACAGTCCCATTACAGCTGTTTTTAAAGGATAAAGGATGAACCATTCGGCATCGACCAATCAGTGAGTGGTGCTCCATGCATTGTTATTGTTACTGATATTGTTCATGATAAACTCGTGCAACTTTACTAATGAAACAGAATAGTGGTAATAATAGTCCTCCCAACGGTTTACCGCCTCATCGTGACTGGGAGGTGTTGGGGGTGTCGGGCTGCTAATTATTGCGGGGTGATTCACCCCCTGACAGGGTCTCCCAAGCTGAGAAGGAATCCGGCGTTTTCATCAGGAAGCCCAGCTAAGAGTAAACCAATACCAGGATCCGTCACCGTCCTGATAGCAAACTAGTCGCATGGTGGCAAATCTCCCTTTGATCCACAAGGGTAGTACTGCTTGTGGTGGTGAAGACCTGGGGACAAACTTTGGCCTTGTTGACTGCGGGACTACAGAGAACCACAGTGGCTAAACCAGCAAATCACCGAAAAGATGAAGATTAAGCTTGAGTCCGCACGACCAATGAGAACGAGCCATCAAAGAATCAAAGTAAGTGGGTAAGTATTAATAATAATGACGATAATAATAGTAAGCAATAATGACAACATTGATAACAATAATAAAAACAGCAACAGTATTAGAAATAGTGACAATGATAAAAAGAGGAATCGGTTTGTTACATCATCCTAAGGTGAGCGATTGATTAGACGTTGGTTCTGCTGCCACCACAAGAATCGTTGTCCGCCTAGAAGAATCCGTTTCGCAAGGCTTTCAATCCACAAAAGCCAGCAAGTGTCTGCGATTATGACCCAAAAACGCTCTAACCCTGCTAACTCTGGTTTCCAAGGAGAACCACGCTCGACCAGTATTCCGCATACTAATGGGAGAAGATAACAGAGCCATAGTTTGCAGCCAAAGTGAACTACGAGTTGGATTATCTTCGTAAACGACGGTGAGAGGGAAGCAAAATAAATGGACGGAGTATTGGGATCAACACTACGTATGAACGCGGGTTATCTAAGTATTTATGTAAGTAATAATAACAAAAAATAAGGGATATATTCAAGGAGGAGTTAAAAAGACGTATTAATTATGATGATGTGAAGTTGTTTGACGATTTGTATCTTTTTTACAATATTACTTTGTATTTTTTACAGTATACCCCGAAGAATTACTTAGCCCAGGAGGTTCGTTAGTGTGAAAGAGAAACATTATGTATGGCGGTCACACTAAACGTGGAAGTTTGAGATAGAATCAGAACCGTCACTTCGTCTACTGTCACCATACCTGCATCATCTCCAACTGCTCCTTGCTCGAGCGTCGCCGCTGCTGCCGCTCTTCAGGGAGCCAGAACTCGGCCGAGAGCTCGTCCGGCCTGTGTCGTAGCTCACCCTCCACACGGTTGTCGTGGTAGTACCACGTGCCTGACACGGTTAGACCACCTACAAAATGTTCTCCGCTAAAAAACCTTGTCATTTCTTGAAAATAAACGTAGATAAGACGATTTTATGGGATAGGCTGTGTCTATTACTCATTAGGCTCAACTATCTTACAATTTCGCGAGAACTTATAAGCCTTAAGCACTTTGGATTGAGCTATTTACAGCCTTATACATTATTAGTACGGCCAAGTACTGTTGAAAGACTGGCTTTTGCATCGATTTTGGATCCTAAATTGTTTTCTGCTCGTCTTGAATTTTTCGCTTTACTATGCTCTTAAAATAAAGAAAAACCTCTTGGCATTGATCAATCCCTTTAGGGATGTGCCATGTGCCATTAAACTTCATTAAGCACCGCTTGGAGGTGATTGAACGCATATCTGGCCTTTACACTGACCAGCGGTGGCTTGCCGATGTACCGGGTCAGTGCTGTTATCCTTCGAGGAAAGTATGCTACCAGTTTGCAGAACCCGGAGGGATGGAGGGCTTGTGGGCCATGGGTACGGAGATCGATCCTACGTGTGTATTGCAGAGCGCCTCCGACCACTTCACCGCACGTGTCCAAATGCTATGCTCTTATTAACCGTTTTATTATAGAGTTTTAAAATTGTTTCTTTTTTCGTTAGATTACCAAAATAAAAAGCATTTGTAAAGGAAGAGCAAGTTCTTATTCAGGAAAACTCGTTCATTTGGAATGCGGACCACCTCTTTCTCGGGGTACTACCATTTGTTCTTCAGCAACAATCAAGTTCTGAATCGGATATTGTTCGTCATCCCAGACAATCTTAGCCGTGGCACTGGGAAGCGTTGCAGTTGTCACACGATATTCCGGCTCCAGCGAATACAAAACACCTTGGAATAACGATTTCTTCAGGCTGAAATTATGCACGGATTATTAAAGTAGAGAACATTTAAAGAGATTTAAAAGTAGAGAACAAATCAGTCGCCAAAAATTATGAATGGTCCCATTTGAAAACGTTGACAGTGTCTTTTAAAAGATCAAGTAATCTGTTTCAGCACTTTGTAATGGCCTATTGCTAAAGTGAGTGCAAGCAGTCAAGTTGCCCTGGAACAGGGTTTCCTACTGCGCACCCCTTCACTACCGAACAGTCATATTTTAGGGAAAAAACGTCATTCACCAATTTTATTACAGCACTTTGTTAGTGAATAGAAAAGTAATCATTGCGTAAATTGTTTCACCCGGGTTTTGTCTGCTTTTTCGTCATGGCAGCATTTGTTCGTAAAGGCGACGGCGTGTCTGAAAGTGCTGCTGTGAGGACTGGTGAAAATTTTCCTACCACAATCCGCTTTCTCTGGTTTTTCCTTTATCACAGTTACCTTGTTTACTCGATGAAGTAGTACTTGGCATAGGCGTCGTCATCCTAGGGTGTTCCGCAGTCGTCATCGTTGACCTCGTTGTAATACTTAATAACACAATTGACACTTAGTTATTTAGAATATTATCCTTTGTATTGCTTGCAAGCTTCCCTGATGATGCCTCAGCTACTCGTAATTTTAAAAAAATGTCAAAAACAAGAATGAAATCGAAAATGGATGAAGTACAGTACTAACTATGAAATGGTTACGATGCCAGGTGGGATCGAGGAGTGAACGGCGTTTGACATCATTACCTAGATTGCTTGGTTATACTGAGCACATTAATGGTGGATTTTTGAGAGAAAAAAGGTAAAAGGACCATAATCAACAAGCCACATTTTCAAATCAGAAAGGTAAAGGTCTCGCGTTGTCAAAAGGGATAAATTCTTTCCTTTAAATAGGAACGCTTTCTATAGAAGTAACTGGTTACGGCTACACAAAAGTTAAGAAAAATCCGTCTCCTATAGATTCACCTACGCAAAAAATATAAGTTATTAAAGCGAACGCTATCTGAATTCATTGATTAATTCATCTACAGCAAGGAGATGGGAGGGTTTTCCGGCTCTTTTCGTATGGGGCAGTCTAGGTGCTCAGTGGAAATGGGCGCAAAAAAAGGATTTCGTATGCTTACAACTAAGAAATGAATACCAACGTTTTCCCACTCAGAAGAAATCATCGCTTCATATTACGGACCACATTGAGTGGATGTTGTTTACTTTCATATTTGATAAAGGATAAAGCGTTCAGTGTTGATGAAATCGTCAAGCATGCATTTGACTCTCTTGCTAAAGGTGATTGAATGCTATTTGGCCCGTAGACGGGCTTGCTCTGGCGCGCCGATATTCGGGCGTCGGAGTGATGGAGAGCTTGGTTTAGCCGTGATGCGAGATCGAATAAAAAACTTGTACTGCAAAACAATTCTAGCCATTGCACTCTCTTCCCACCCCTTCAAGATTGGTGAAACTGTATTAATTCAACTTGTTCGAGGTTATGGAACTTATTCGTTATTCAGTTGTTTTTTTCGAATGTTTTGTTGCGATAGAGGCATTTATTAATGACTACAAAAACATGGATGTTACAAAGAAGAAAAGCGAGTTCTCACCCAGGCATGCTCTGACCTCTCAATGCTTCTCACGGTCGAAGAAAGTCAAGGCCATTTGTTATGATTTCTCGCGTGCTATTTATAGCAATACAGGAAATCCTCGTGTTCGTAGGCAAGCGCACATGAAGGACAAGGGTCTTTTTTGCTTCTTTGGCCACATTTTTTAGACTGTCTTCACTGGTAGTAAGCACCGCTTAAATTAACGTCACCAGCTATCTGTCACCTGCTTCTCACTGACAGTTACGTCACGCGTTGGAATTGCGGCTTCAGAGATGCCAGCGTTCGTCAACGAGTGCAGCAATGAATCGGTCACTGCAAACGGCATGTCGTGCTCCTGAAAATATCCGTCGTAATAGGTGGTCCACGAGATAAAGTATACAGTTGCGTAATCAACAACTGTTCAGAAGGTGGTTCACAAGGGAAGCAGTTAGAAGTAAGTAGGATTTGAAAAAAGTGCAACGAGATAAAAATAACGCCGTAGCTTCGATAAACAAATAAAAACTGCAGAAACTGAGTCACCTCGACCTCGTCGGGCAGTAGGTCCAACCTGTTTCTCAATCGTGCGCTTCCGGTTGGCTGCAATTTCTACTTGTAAGTAACCAAACAACGTCGCAATAACGCATTCTGGTCCATAAAGGGCAAACCAGTGGTTTTTTGGATGTATGCTGGTGATGCTCCATCAGCAGAGATCAGCTTATTCAGCGCAATCAATCCCAATGGACCGAAAATATTCCCATGTCGTTCATTATTATAATTCTTAGGATTTTGCCGACTCCTTTATTAGAACTTTAGTTACCAAATTAGTCCATTCCAGTTTTAAAAAAGCAAGTTCCCGTCAGACTTTTTTCTTGGAAGTATTTCGATTTTTCAGTTGTGAATTTTGAAAGAAGGAATTTAGTATGTTTTACGAGAACCGTGGGCGATCATTAGCATCAGCTCGTTATGCAAGTGCTGAGGAAGACTCGCGCTTTCTCGCTCTCCTCATTCTGGAAGAAAGTTGATGGAATTGCGTTTGGTTCTACGCTTCCAAATGCTATGAATGAAAGAACTTGCAGGCCGACTTTAAAAAATCACCAAGATATAGGCCCGCCTAATAGCCTTGAGGGTTCGGACCGGCATCGTACTGGTGATAATCGACATCACTACCACTGCTCTACCCCGTTATTAGGTGGGTTTGCCACAGGGCTGTGAGGTGTATTTGTGCAAATAATTCACTATCGACATTATAAAAGATATTAAAGAAAGATATAGACGTATGTAATTTCCTGTCGATATGATTGATGCATTATAGAGAAGTGAACACGAAAGAAAGGCGTTTATACCTTCCGTCGAACCTCGAGTGGTTCGGTGATCGCGGCGCGGCTGAAGAGCGTGCTGTTCACATCGCCAGCATCGGCATGGTTCATTAGCGTTCGAACACCTGTCAGGTTTGCAGATTTTGGCGACATCTGAACCCCTTCGAAATATGTTGATGTCCACATCTTCAAAATCCAGTGTTCGACGCCACAATGACCACTAATTAACCAAAGGAGCTTTAAATTATTCTTATTTAAAGAAAAATTCAACACAATTTTGGGATTATGGAGTCTTGTGATTGGACGGGAGTTAGTCACGGCAAATTACGACGATTTGAATGTTTTTGTTTATACTGCTAGTAAGAAATACTGGAATCTGTTGCGTCTTTCCCACTGAGAATAACAATCACATGCAATAACAATCACATGCAAAACATACCTCATAGTGAGTAACACACAGATGCCAAGGTAGGTGGGCACAGAGACATAAAGGGGAAGATTTCGAAGTAAAAGTTACAATCCTCGCACAGGAGTCGAAAACACGAGCCCGCAAATTCTTGAGGCATTCTGGATTAGCTCCGAGAACTCGAAAATGAACAGCAAGGAGGAATTCCTTGTAATCACGCCTGATATCTAGCAGTGCTTAAGGCTGTTATTCTACTGTGAGAGGCACATTACGATTCCATGTGAACTCTGTGCGGTAGGCCTCCACGTGACATATTCAGTGGAAGACTCGTAGAAAGCGGTGAGTGCGAAGAAGCTATTCTGTGTTCAATGTGATTGAAATCTTGATTTAGCATTTTTCCTGTTTGGTTATGGAGGTGTTTGGCCAGGTAGATCACGGTCAAGTAGACCTTCCCAGGTTCTGAGGAAGGCGAAATCCGGCGAGACGTCAGCTTGTTCGTGAATAAAGAAATAAAATAACATCTCGTGTTTGCCCGACAAGAATATAAAGGGTTTGATCAGTGCCGAGGTTAGTAGACAGTCGGTCGGGGTTGAAGTAGTTGTTCAACCTCCTCCTCGTTTTATCTGATTGGCTCATTAGGAACAAGTTACAATACTGAAAATTAATTGGGGATGCGATCTACAAAATATCTGATAACTAGAATTTCTAGTTTTTCTAAGTTCAGTAACCATCAGTTACAATGTGGTAACGATTAAGAAAAATCGGAGAATACTAACCTGCTTTTCATACGGCTTTTGACGAACGCTCGATTGACTGAAATATGGCGTTTACCTTCATTTTAAAGATGATAGGATAGTAAACGTTTTAGAACCCATTCTGCATAAATTTTCTGCCTGCCAAAGTATATCAAGATTTATTTATTTATGTGATCTTATAAACTGATCTTCTTAAGCTGACGCGAGGTTGGTACAGATCTTCGTTGTCGTTGTCGTTGTTTTTATAAATATCCTATTGTTTTTATAAATTAGTCTTTCGAGTTATATCAAGATTAAAGAAGAATGAAGAAAAACCAAGAAAGTGGAAGAAGAAGAAGGGAATGGGATCATCAGAAAATTGTGGCTAGTGGGAAGAATAATGAACCTTAGCGAACCGGAGCTGTCAATGAACATGGCAAGTCTCCGAAGCAAAGGATTCTCGTTAAGCAGTTGTTCCACGGTGCTCCAATCCTTTTTCGGTGTATCTGTAAAAAAAAACTTTTTTCACCTAGCAGTCGTGAAATAATCACACATGTATCGTCGTGTTCCTCAAGATGGTAACGCACGAAAGGTTGGTTGTTTTGAGAGTAAGAGTAAAGTCTACGATGCTTCCTTCCTGCACTTTTTTACACTTTCTTTTATGCTACCCGTCTTAGCATATACTGTGCGGTTCCCAACACGTCTCGAATTTCATTCGCTTCCCCGCATCCATCATCCATGAATCATGATTCATTTTCCTCGGCGCTCTGAGATAGTCGGACTAGAGTGTTCCCACTTCAATTGTAGAAAGTGGCCTGTTCCGTGTCTGCTATCAAATTCCTTATCCGAATGGACAGATGAAAAGATGCGTCAGCCTGAAGCAGTGTCGAACATGTATGTATTTCGGGAAGTTTTACGGAAAAATCACATCTTCTACAGGGTCATCATTGATGGCTTCAATGCTAAGATTGTTTTAAGAAGAAAAGAACACAATAAGACAAAATGGATTTAAATGAAATGCATGCAGTGAACGGGGGTTTACTGCAATGATCGAGACCGTCGATAATAGCTGATCAGTTCAAAACCCAGCCTGTCAAAGTTGAAAGTAGAAATATCTCAGTGGAGATGTAAATGAAGGATGAAATAAAGGATAAAAGAATAAACTTCGACCGTTAATCAATGAGTGAGGAACATGCCACGCATTCGACGTCACCAAGCATATTAAAGAGAGAGAGAGCATTAGTGATCTCGGAGAGCGGTTTAGAGCCCATGACCTTATACTGCAGAGCAGCTCTAACCATTGCTCTATGCAGATCGTGGTGGAATAAGTATAGCATAACAGAATGGAGGTTTAGCCAAAGAAATGCGTTATTTTTTCAACGTTCTACACGACATTGAACCGCCGCTTTGCAAGCTTCATTTTTTTCGAAGAAAGGAGAGAAAGTGGCAAAATTCATGAAACGAAACCATAAAATTATCGTATGTTGAAATAAATTGAAATCATTGGTCCGCTTTTGAGGAGATGACATTATTAATATCGCTGACAAATAACATGACCGGCTTGTTGAAAACCTCAATATTCACCTGTAGCCCCGTTGAGCGTCGAGTGACTCGGACTGGCGCCAGTAAATCTTCCATTTTTTCCTGTCGCGTGCAAGAGCAGCCCAGTGGGTTCTGCTCGCTCTAGGAACTCGTCAAGTATCATGTCTTTCTTCTAGGATTTTCGTGAAGAACTCTGACCATCGGGTCGGTAGTCTTCCTGCAGTACGTTTCACATCTCAAGGAATCCAGTCACTAACGGCTCTCGACCATCGGTTGTCGTTCATACGTAAAACGTTTCAGGCCTAGCTTCTCTTTACCTATATATTAGTGCTAAAAAAGTCGTATAGAGAACTTCTCCCTTGGAAAGTTCTCTATCTAACTAAATAATAGTATTTGATGTCCAAATATGGCCCTCTCGCACTCGCACATCAAACACCGCAATGTAACCTTTCTAATCTTCTCGATCAATTATGTTCAATGTTTCAGGCACTATAGCGATTCAGGTTTGACTTCAGTAGCATAGCGACGATGGCCTATCCGAAGGAGGCGTAACCATAGAACAGTTTACTACTTGCTTGCGAAACAACGAAGCTAATGACGTTTGATGTTTCAGGCAGTTAGGTACAGTCTTCTGCGGTCGAGGATCAACAATCCAGATTAACCGCGGTTGCATACGCTCGCGGCTCCCGCAGCCGATATAAGCCAGGTGCCTTCGAAGGCGGAGACATGCCATCACTCACCTTACCCACGATCGGTAGCGCGGATAATCCGCTCCTCACAACCACATCCTCAATCATCCTCAATCACCTCAACTCATTCTTAGTCATAGTCACTCATTCTTATTCAATCACATTCATTCACACATTCACATTCATCTTTCAGTAATCAGCAGATTATTTTATCTTGTCT